TCCTTCATTCTTTCCTCCCTATGTCCCTCTATTCCTTCCTTCATCCTTCCTTCCTTCTTTCCTTCCTTCCTCCCTCTCCCCCTCCATCCCTTCCTTCATCCTTCCTTCCTTCTTACCTCCCTTCATCCCTTCCTTCATCCCTTCCTTCCTTCATTATTTCCTCCCTCTCTCCCTCCCTCCATCCCTCCTTCCTTCTTACCTCCCTTCTTTCAACCCTTCTTTCCTTCTTTCCTCCCTCCCTCCATTCCTTCATTCATCCCCCATACTTCCTTCCTTCATTCATTCATTCTTTCCTCCCTCTCTCCCTCCATCCCTCCTTCTTACTTCCCTCCCTTCCTTCATCCCTTCCTTCCCTCCCCTTTTTTGCAAGCTAGCATGTGCGTTTCCATTCAGCCACAAGAGGGCAGCCAAGACCACAAAATTGCTATTAAGGCTATTTATTATTTTAATTTTTGGTCCCTTCCCATTTTAATTCCCCTCAGAACGAAAGTTTCTCTGTCTGCCCCATCAACCAGACCCACTCCAAACCCAGAATAACCCTGGTTATTGCTTTGGATTCCTCTCAGGCGTGCCAGTCGGTTGCCGGTTGAGGCCATCGTAGGGTGGAGTGAGAAGGTTAACCCCAAAGGTCATCTAGTCCAGCCCTCGGCAATATGCGGGAGAAGCTGTTAACCGGCCTCAAGAGGGCCGGCGTCTTTTTAGAAAGCTCCAGCTAGGGTGGGGGGGAACCCCCCCAAAAAAACTTTATGCTTTGTTTAATCATTTATTTAAATGCCTTCATTCATTAGCCAAAATGAGAAACATTTAATCCCCCCAAAATTACACCTTGAAGAACACAACGACAGCCATTTTTTGGAGAAGATTAAATTCTTTATTGTGCCCCCGATCTCCACAAGCCAGGCCAGAAGCCTCGAAGGACTGGGGAGGGGTAAACCATGGTTAGGTTAAGGAGGAGGGGCCATCCGGGGCCAATCTCAGCCTCCCGTCGCTGCCTCAGTGGCCATGGAACTCATTGTGGCACTGGACCAGGAACCTTCCCAGGAAAGTCATGAACTCTTCAAAGGACAGCTCCCTGTCCTTATTCTGGTCTAGCTCATTGAACAGGCGGTTCACACCGTCGGGGTTCTTATTGTCCTGCAAATCGCAAAGGGAAAAAAAGTGCTTTAAATAATTTGGGCCCTACGATACGAAGCCTGGGAAACTGGCTCTCTTTCCCCCCCCCCNAAAATAACAGAATAAAGAGTAGGAAGGGACCTTGGAGGTCTTCTAGTCCAGCCCACTGCTCAAGCAGGAGAACGTGGACCCTTTCAGACAAATGGATGTCCAGTCTCTTCTTGAAAGCCTCCTGAACAGTGATGGGTCACCTTTTCCTCCTCGCATGCCAAGATTGCACGCCTGTGCGTGATAGCACCTGTGTCCCCATACCCATAATGCAATTGTGCCACGCACACCCTCCACATGTACGCACAACACCCCCCTCCCGCCCGCGCGCACTCCCCCTGTCCCCGTGCATGCAAGAGGGCAGAGGAGAGATTTTTTTGACCCCATGTAGACCTTTCTCTTGGAGGATTGCAAGACCTTTGACCCCAAAGGAGAGTCCCACACCCCACGGCCATTGCTGAGGGTAGGTAGATGATGCCATCGAAGTCCCTACTCGATTATATGGAGGGCTGTGCCCCATGCCACCCCTATCCATACCTGAACAAGCTTGGGGGCTCACCTTGAGACAGAGAGCATAAGATCAAGAAAGAGATCTTCAAGAGGACCATCTTCTCCCGATGCTGGTGGCCCTGAGGTCGGTCTTCTAAAAAAGAACAAGATGTTTTGGGTCCAAAATTCATCAGGTCGAGTGACATCCCTTCGCTTATCTCCCATAGACAACACCGTCTCTTACTAAATATTTATTGTTAAGTCTTGATGTGGGTCGGAAAGATTGAGTAGCAGATGTTCTCCAACCAGTTTTCTCCGCGGCCTCCTGAAGCCTTTTTGCCGGAGTCTACAACTCGCTTGGCTTCGTGGTAGGGGTTGGCCTGCTCCATATTTACTCGCGGGTTGTAATTCCGTCAAGGCAGAGACCCCCTGGGATATGCTGCGTCTCTCCTTGGTCCATTGTGGGGTCAAGTTCTCAAGGTCACAACCCGAAGTCTTAGGCTTCGAACTGGAAGCATCTCATGAATTGAGACCAGATGAGGGGAAGGATCTCATAGCAGTCTGGACATTAAAGTCCCTTTTTGGGATCTGGGCTCCAGATGCTACACCCACCCAAGTGAAATGTAGCAAGGGATGGTCGTGAAGAAGACTTTGCCAGTGGTGGCCTCAAGAATATGGGAGATGGTATCCTAAAGCCCATGAAGGTATTCTCCTCCAGGGATGGGTATCTCACCTTCTCCAGATAGCCGAATTCTAAGCTCCGTTATTTCCAACCAACGGTGATGGTGGAGAGCTTCAAGAAGACCACTGAGAAGTTTCTACAGGGATCGGGTATCCTGGGGCCCAGGCT